GGTCTGGACCACTCGTGAATTTTGTTCGTATCTGAAAAAAATCTCCGAAAACATTGGTGAATGCCACAAATTCTCCTAAATCACTCGTACGCACAACTTAAGAACAAATCTGTGCGTACGAACGGTTCTTGCATGAGGCCCAATGATTATTATAGGACTTTGTCCCCTAAAGCCCTTAAAATCTTTCTGCACAACTAACTATACAAAAAGCATTCTTTAAGAACAGTCATCTGTTTGCACAGCTTCACATTCACCTCAGGGCTGACTGAGAGCTGGGAGGTGTCTTATTAGTGCTTCTGCAGAAAGATTTTGAGGATGTTCATTTCTTCTGTGCCACTTTATGTTAAATATACGCTTGCTCATATTCTCTGTTTGTTTTTTTGTAAAACAAAGCAGCAYACGTAAAACAAGCAAAATAGTACATTTTCTATTTTTACCATCTTTATAGAAGAGAACCAGGTGAAGTGGTGCAGTCATTTTTAACTTCTGAATCACTGACTTTCAGAATGTTTCAGTAACATCTTGTGCTCGATTTAAATGGATTTGCAGCTTTCCTTATCATCTTTTGCTGTGAAGGACTGTGGTGACTTTTGCTTATTTGGTAGAGCATCTGTCCTAGTATCAGTTTGATTTTTATCCCGTGTTTGCTTTTCTAATAAAAAAAAAAAGAAATATCTTCTCAGGTACTAAATGCTGTCTCTCCYCATCCCTCAAAGCTGCTGTCCTGACTTCAACATTTTTACTCAGTGTTCAGATAAAAAGTAGAATATCATAGAAATCACAATAAATATACTTTAATAATAGGTGTTTTTCTGTGTCCCAGACTGCAGTGGTTTAATTCATGGGAAGAAAATGACTGAGGTGGTGAGCTACTTGGAGCAGAGGTGTCRGTGTGGCATTTCTGCGACAAATCTACAAGGTGAGGCATTTTCAGTTGTTTATATATACTCTTGGCTAAAACCGATTTTTGTTATTTTATTGAAAAAAAATGTTGGTTTTAAGTGTCATCTAATAAATTGTTATTGTTCCCGTCGCCRAGGYGGRGGACTTAGAAATGCTCTCCGTCCGTCCGTCCATCCATTACAATTTCAAAAAGCTGTAACTTTCTTATAGAAAGGCTAAAATCCACCAAACTTGGTATGAGTCATCCATGTTGCATGCATCATCAAAGCCCTGCCCCCTGACAWYTTTTTCTGGCKTGGAAAGTGCCATCTCTGACCTTCTCAACCTAATCAGCAAGAAATTGTGTCAGAACGCAGATAATAAGTTCTGCTCACTTGCTTTCAAGCACAAAGATTTTTTAGGGAAAGGCGTGTTCATTGGCGGTGAGGTGAAGTCAGACATCACGCTGTTGACAAACGTTTGGCTCTAAATTCTACATATTTCAGCCAATCTGCTCTTGATTCACTATGGTAGGTCCTAATCCATCCCACTATAGGAATGCTGTATAATTTTTCATGGGCGTGGCCTAATTAAACATTAGGCCGTTGACAGACGTTTGGCTCGAAATCACACATACATAATCCAATCTGAACCAAATTATGTGTGCATCATAAGGGAGGCCTGCTCAACACATTAGTGCAGTAGTTTAACAAGATCACTTTAGCCCCTCATCTGTCCGTCTATCTGTTCACCTTATGAGATTATTATGACCCCCGCACATGAAGCGTAAGCAGGAGTCATATTGTTTTCGTACTGATTATTTTGTTTTATTTTTTTCAGTGATTTTTGGTCAACCGTACCACAAAAACGGCTGCATCGATCAACATGAAATATGGCAGGGCTGTAGATGAGTCCGACCTACACTGTACCAGCCAAGGTTTTACAATAGACCCCATATTTGAGGAGGGAGCTCCTTTCAAAGAGGGGGTGTCTGGACATGCAAACATGCTTATAACTCAGAAACTGTTCAACATAGAAGCTTCAGATTTCTTTTTGGTCTGTAGCTCTGATGAAGCTCTATCCATCAGGCCCACCAATCAGTGCCCCCTACCCCCCCGGACCCCCAATTTATCTGAAAAAGGGGTGTCTGACATGCAAAAATTCGAATAACTCAGAAACTGATCAACATAGGAGCTTCAGATTGTTTTGGTTGTTTAGCTCTGATGAAGCTCTGTCCATCAGGCCCACCAATCAATGCCCCCCCCCCCCCCCGGCCCCCCATTTATCTGAAAAAGGGGTATCTGGCCATACAAAAATGGTTATTGCTCAAAAACTATTAAACATAGGAGCTTCAGATTTCTTTTGTTGTTTAGCTCTGATGAAGCTCTATCCATCAGGCCCACCAATCAATGCCCCCCCCCCAAAAAAAAAAGACCCCCACCCAAACCACTACAATTTTGGGATGCACCTGGTAGCATGAAATTTATTAGATGAGTTCTGGTGCATTTCTGCRTGCGGGGGTCATTATGTTACCGCTATGTGGTATCTAGTTTAAATAATGAAGGCCTGTGATGATTCCAACTAAATTGCTAACAGTTGGTCAGGCGACAGGGGACATCAGTGACGGCTGACTGAGTTCTATCTTGTAGTTATTATTATTATTATTAGTATTATTATTATTATTGTTATTATTATTATTATTATTGTTATTGTTGTTATTGTTATTATTATAGCGTTTAGAACACACATACACTAACTAATACAGAACAAAATTTAGAAATACACATTGTTAACATTTATTTTTTTGGCCTTACACTCTACTCACAGCTACTTCATTCATTGTTTCTTAGAGATACATTTTTATCACAATCCAGTAAACCAGTTAAAAAAAATAAACCTTCACTAAAAATCCAATTATATGACTTTTAAATAGAAGAGAACACAACAATAAAGTCGACTACTATTGCGAAAATACTGCATTAAATACAGTGACAAAAACAGAAACAATAAGGCCAGGTGAAATGTTAACAAGGGCTGGATGTGGCCCGCGGGCCTTGAGTTTGACACGTTTTAAGCTGTGAACTTCCATCTACAGGTAAAGGTATCTCAGACAAAAGCAGCTGYTTGGTAGGTTTTATCCATATCTTGTTTTTGTCTGTTTGTTTTTGTTCAAGGAGCGAATTTCTCTTGTGTTTCTGGGTGGCTGAGAGTCTGGGGCCAGATCCAGGCACTGTCGGACCACCAGAAGGCCCTCATCATCCAGACGTTCAATACGAGCCCATTGGCGGTCCAGGCAGAGGCCTGTTCTGTGCCCACCACCGGCCGTTACACAGGCACAGGTTAGAACAGACCTAATGTGGGTTTGTGATTAACATGCAGCCTCACTTCTCCCCTGTTAACAAAATAAACTGGTCCTAATCAACCAAATGAATGACTTACAGTACAGTCTGTCCTCTGGTGTGAAAATGTACCAGAAACAAACTCCATTTACATCATTATGTAACAGAATATCTGAGTGTGGACAAGCTGTCCCTGTAAAAGAAGTAGGTTGCTTTCTAATAGTTTACAGATCAGGCACTCAGGACGGTGAGCAGCTATTTTTCTACGTTTTTTTCTACGTTTTTACTGAGTTATATTAACGAGCCACAGGCAGAAGAAGAACACTTAAAAGCAGACAGCAGACTTAACAGGAAGATTTTCTTTCTGGATGCTCGGTTTCAAATGGATAAAAGTGGCACYATGTGTACAAGAAAGGCTGTTTCCTCAGAATTTTGCAGATTTATRTACAGTAAGATTTTACTTATTGTTTTGTAACTACATTCATATTTATATGATTAAGCAGAATAAATGTTAATTAAGAATTTATTTTAAGTGCATACCTCTTCATTTAGCATGTCGTTAGCTTGTAATTATTTTTAYTGTTAATGTTGTGAGTTTTCTCAGAGCTGAAAAGCCTAATTAGAATTTTTTTATTTTGCAAAAACTAACACTTTTCACAACACTTAACACAATTCAGCCGTTTTTATCACTGATGCAAAAATGTATCTGCAAGGAAGAAAAATACTTTCACAGATTTTAAATCCAGAGCCATGTGACAATTACATTATTATTAAGAGCACTTCACATCTAATTTTTCATATTCTAACACCAGTTTAAGTGATTTTTTTTATTTTAATAAAGAGCCTTTTGAAATAGAAACATAATTTTCATTAGCAGTCATTGAAACAGAACACAAAGTACCAATCTTGATGCATTCTCCTGAAAACAATAAAAGTGCTCCTATGAAGAAAATTTGCACCTTTTTGAAYGAGAGGAAAAAAGTAATTTGGACATGAATATGGGTCAGACTTCAGCACCTAACAGGACTKTAGACATGAAATGACATCAGAGTTCAGTTCACTTTTAGTTTTTTTGCTTCTGTCAGCTTTGCTAATTTGTTGCATTTTCCTGCACAAATCTGGCATCAGCAACTTGACTGGTTTTAAAATAATTTTTAAAAGAGTTTGATTTTTCACCCTTCCAGCCTCCGCCCTGGGGCTACAGATTGGGCTGATCATCGCTGTGCTCCTGCTGCTCGGACTGGGAGCTGCTCTGTTCACGTATCTCTACAGGAGGAGGTAAAACAATGTTCTGCTTTTTCTGTATTTTTAAACAAACAATATATATATATATTTATTTATTTATTACTAATTACATTTATGCACACAAACATTTCATATCTGTGTGTTTTTCTTTTTAGTTACCATGCTTTAGGTTTTTAACATGTTGAACCATTAATTAGAACTGCTTCCTGTGCCTAACTATTGACAGTCTTGCATTCTTTTTTGTTTGTTTTATTTTGCACTAAATCTTACAGCGTWCTTAAAGAATATATTGATTTCCAGATTCTCATTGCTGTTCATGGTGTTGATTAAGGGTGTCATAAAGTATAATGAACAGGTGACCCATTACTGACAAAACTCATGAAAAACTTGTGTTTTTATTTCTGACCCTCTAATGCTGCCTGGTGACGTTGTGTATCAGTGTGGATAAAAATCATTCTCTTTTTTCCTTCAAATGRTTTCTCACCATTAAACCCCTCTGTCAAAGTACTACTTAAGTTAAAGTACTGGTGTAAGTGCTTTCAAAAGTACTCAGGTATTGAAAGTACTAAAAAATTGGAGGTTTTGTAACAAAGCATTCCACTTCAGTATAAATGAGACTGATTGGGAATATTTTCTGCTATGCTGGACAGATCATTAACTCCATATATATAATAATAAAACATAAGTCTTATATAACACTGTTCTAGACGCTCAAAGACTCTTTACAGTTTCATGCATCGTTCATTCCCTCCTCAGTCACACTCAGTGCTGGAAGTGTTGCTGCCATTCTGCACCTACGCTCCCTCCAGATCACCACAATCACACCAACAGTTTTATACACGGGGAAGTTGGCTTAAGTGTCTCGCCCATGATGACAAGATGCACTAAGGGAGGGAGTTGAACCGGCAATGATCTGGTTGCAGGGTGAACACCTACCCCCTGCACCACTTAAATCTATATCTTCCTAATTATGCATCCTTTTATAAGTACTGTCAGCTCTTTTAGTCTCTACATAATCACCACTTCCAGGACAAGGCCTGGAACATTGTTCATTAAGTGACTAATTAATTAAAGAGATCTCAATCTAATCTTTGGTGGAGGCTTTTCACGCTGAGCTTCTTATTTATTTATTATATTTATATTAGTTTGCTGAAATGAAAATATGTGTTACAATAAACTAGAAACACTTTTGTACAAAACAATTTAATAAAGTTTAGTTTTAGAAATGCGTTAACAGAACAAAGGGACTAAACTTTTAAAACACTTTAACTTAAATAATGTAAGCTGCGCTTTTTCTTTTTGGATGACAAATTTTTGTAGGACATGATTAAATTTGTCTGTGGCAAAGACAGCAAATAATTAAATGATACAAATCGTTTTGATGTCTTGTAGAAAAGGGTTAGCTGCATTCAAGGGTTGTGGCTGCTTTGGTCTCAGGATGATGACATCACAACCAGAGCCGAGCACCAACAGCAAAGGCTGTGTTCCATTCTGAAATACTTAAATGTAAACTTCAACATTCAAGATTTTTACATGTACATTTAGGATGTAATACTTCAATATTTTATTTCAATTTTAGTAAAAAAAATAGTAGAATGTAAGAACAGTGAGATAAATAAAAATAAAATGTTATTGGAAAAAAAATTTCACTGGGAATTAACAACTCGCTGGGTCAACAAAGCCCTGACCTGCCTGGAAAAATATTGCCATTTTTAATCTGAGTCATAATTATCAGTACAGTCATAGGACATGAACTGACAGAGAAAGCATTGATTTTGTCAAAAGGCAGAGGGGAAAAGTTACAAAACCCTTTCTGTTCACAGAAGAACAACCTTACAACACACTAATGAAAGAAAATTTGTCTTATTGCCTTTACAAAGAGAAATGGAAGCAAGTGTGTGAGGAATGAATACAGGCTAATCAATAAAGCAGGGTTATTTGGCCAAAAGCTATAATAAGTTTGGAACCTCTGCAAAGCCTTTATCTTTAAAAGTGCCACAAAATAAAACTACAATATAT